CTATCATAGACAGGAAATAGCATGAGGGTCATAACTCAATCTTTGGGGTGGCCCTGTCTCGAGTCTGCATTTCCTTCCTTAGAAGAGTCTGGCTTCGTCTCCACCCCTAGGCTGTGGACCTCCAGGGATCCCAAGTGAAAATCAGCGACGTTTACCAACGCCTCCTGATGGCTGATTCTCAGAACCGTAAGTTGGCCTCTTACTAAAATGACCAAAACCTGCACTCCTCTTTCCCATTCTTTCTTCCCCTCTACGTCTTAGTCTGTTAACCTAATGTTGTAGTAGGAAAACTGGCATCTGGTCTTGTGTTTTACTGTGACCTGCTGTTCTCCGGGATTTTGGTCCCTCAAGGTCTAGATGCTGGAAACTGGCAGTTAGCCTAGTGGCTCAAATGCCCACATCCCATGTCACGGTATCTAGTTTTGATTGCTGGCTCTGGCTCCTGGCTTCAGCTTCCTTTCAAGGCATACCCAGGGAGGCAGTGATAATGGCTCAAATAATTGTTTTTTTTTTTTTTCTACTCACAAGGGAGACTTGGATGGAGATACTGGTTCCCAGCTTCATCCTTGGCTGCTGTGGACATTTGGTGAATAAACCAATGGATGGGAGTTCTCCCAGCTCCCTGAAATAAGTAAACATCACCATTGAAAAGATCTGGATGTTTTCATTGGCCCAAACTCCACCTTTTGTTCCCCTGGTTCTGATATGTGGAAAGCTCTGCCTGGGTAATGATCTTCCCTTGGCTTCTGGTCCATTCTCTGGCTGGCTTCTCAGCTCCTTGCTTCAGACCAAAGTGGCTACTGCCAGTGGGAAGCACCTCACACCATTCTCCATGGGACTGTGGCCCTCAACTCCTGGATCTTTCAGTAGCTCCCAAATAACCTGCAACCAGATGCTTTTGTTTCATGCAGTTTTTCTGGTTGTTGTTCTTGGAAATGTTGGTCTTAGTAGAAAGGGAAGACCTGGGACAACTTATGAGAAGTAAAGTTGCAGACAGGTGCTCCTAGCAACTGTGAGATAAACAGAAGTGGTATAAAGAGCCCAGAGGGCAGTGTTGGCCATCCAAGTAATGAGATGACCCCTGGCTATAATTGAGGTTGTGTTTCTCTGTCCATCAGAATTGTTGGCATTCTCTTGTGTCTAGAGATGACACTACTGCCTCCTTTACCCAGAGTCATCCCTGGGAGAGAAAAGGGGGCAGCTTTCTAACAGATCATGTTCGGGTGGCCTCTTGGGCATGGGCTAGTAAGGAATTCTTAGGAAAGGGCCAAGGCAGGGCTTAACCTGTGGCCCAGGGTAGCTCCACTGTCAGTGCTGGAACCTGCTGCTAACAACTCACAAGAGCCTATGGTGTGTTTATGTGTGGTCACTTTAGTACATTGTACGGGCCACGTACACCATGGAGATCCACAGGCACTATAAACCAGGGCTTTGTTTTACGCAGATGCTGGTTGTAAAACTTGAATCAGGGAACGGCCACCCAGGAGGGATGTGTGGCAGTGGGGGTGGGGCCAGATTCAAGCCCTTTGGGTCAATAGATACTGGGGGCTGACTCAATAATGATTGGCTCTGTGTTCATGTGTGTGTGTGTGTGTGTGTGTGTGTGTTTTATCATTTAGTTCTCACTACACCATGAAATCAGATAGTAGAGACTAGGAGAATTTCTGTTCCCTGCTTCAGTCCACATTGCAACCTGGGTCGCTGTGACCCCTTCATCTTCATCCTTAACCACAGCACCTGTAGCAGTACAGGGCGGGAGGACTGAGCCCAGGCTAGTTTCCGGTCGCTGAGGGCAGACAGTGCAGTGTGGCAGAGACCAAGGACCCGTGTGGCCCTGAGCACACACTCGGCCCATATAAGAAGTGCAAACAGGATTCTGAGCCCAAGCAGCATGGAGAGAACAGAGGGATTGAGAAAAATTGTCCTTGGTTGCTTATTGTTCTTGCACCTTGTTGTCATGCCCCTGTCCTGAACAAACCCCACCACCTGTTTTCTCTGTTTCTATACCCAGACGGCACAGCACAGGTGATGAAAACTCGCACAACAGAGCAGATTGCCGCATTCTAAATTCCTGATCACCAATCTCCAAGACAGCAGGGGTCCTACCAGAACTTGTGGGCTGACTTTTCCTTTACTATCCCTAGAAAGTTTTCACACTTTTAATGTGCGGAAGCATGCCTCTTCTCCCTCACTCAGTAATTCTAAAGTCGAACTTTCCTGTTTATTTTGCAGTATCTATAATTCACGTAATGGGGTGAGACACAGTACAGAGAGGGTCCCTGGACCCTGTATCCAGTCTCCTGCAGAACCAGCCTCTTCAGAGTTACAGTACAGTTCCAAAGCCAGGAGACCACAATGGGCACAACCAAGGGAGAGAATGTTTTGGACCTCACAAGACTTCACATCATCCTCGTAGAGCCACACCCATTTCCTCTGACAGGCTCCAGTCTGTCCCACAGCTCCATGACTGAGTCACATCCTGAATGTCATTTGTGTGCAGTCACACAGAGTAGGTGCCCCAGGGACTGGGTTTTATCAGTCAGCATGGGTCTCTGGAGATTCCTATAGGCCACTGTGCGTACACATAGTTCCTGTAGGTCACCGTGTGTACCCATAGTTCCTATAGGTCACTGTGTATTCATAGTTCCTGTAGGTCAGTGTGTGTAACTATAGTTCCTATAGGTCACTGTGCATACCCATAGTTCCTGTAGGTCACTGTGCATACCCATAGTTCCTATAGGTCACTGTGCATACCCATAGTTCCTATAGGTCACTGTGCATACCCATAGTTCCTGTAGGTCACTGTGCATATCCATAGTTCCTATAGGTCACCGTGTGTACCCATAGTTCCTGTAGGTCCCTGTGTGTACCCATAGTTCCTATAGGTCCCTGTGTGTATCCATAGTTCCTATAGGTCACTGTGTATCCATAGTTTCTATATGTCACTGTGCATACCCATAGTTCCTATAGGTCACTGTGTGTACCCATAGTTCCATCCTTTGTATTAACATCCGTGGATGGATGGTCTGGTATTGCCCACTAAGGTCCATCAGGGTTGATTCCAGTTCTTGCCTATTAAAAATTAAGCTGCTGTAGACATGAAGTATTTTACATGAATGTAGGAATTAATTTTTGAGGGATAAAAACCTCTGGCACTTTAATTTATTATTAATTTAGTGTTGAGAGACTACCAAGCTGGTTGCCCGTGTAGCTGTACCATTTCATAGTCTCATTAGCAAGGTAGGGTTGATCCAGTTTCTCCACATCCTTGCTAGCATTGCATATTTTAAGTGATTTTTATTTGAGCCAATTTGATAGGTCTATACTGACATCCCAGGGTGGTTTGTACTTGCATTTCCCTCATGGGTAATGACATGGAACATCTTTTCATGGGCATATATGCCGACTGCATACTTCTTAGGTGGAATGTGTGTTTTCTAACTGGATTGCTATTTTACTGTTCAGTTGTGAGAGTCTTTTACATTTTCTAGATACTAGTCCTTTGTCATCTGTGTTGTTTGTAAATACATGTCTTAAAGTATTTACCTCATTCTTTTTTATTTTTTAAAATTTATTTGACGGGTAGAGTTATAGACAGTGAGTGAGACAGACAGAGAGAAAGATCCTCCTTCCGTTGGTTCACTCCCCAAATGGCCACTACGGCCGGCACTGCACCGATCCGAAGCCAGGAGCCAGGTGCTTCCTCCTGGTCTCCCATGCGGGTGCAGGGCCCAAGCACTTAGGCCATCCTCCACTGCACTCCCAGGCCACTGCAGAGAGCTGGACTGGAAGAGGAGCAACCGGGACTGGAACCCGGCACCCATACAGGATGCCGGTGCTGCAGGCAGAGGATTAACCCAGTGAGCCATGGTGCCGGCCCCTACCTCATTCTTTACTGCTTTATAGTTTTCTGGACATTTTGTCATTTTATTTTAAGTTTGTGATTCATTTTGAGCTCCGTTTTAAACAAGCTGTGAGACTTAGGTTGAGTTTAATTGTTTTCCTCTGGGTAGCCTGTTGCTCCAGGACTATTTGTTAAAAATCTTACCTTTATCGCTTCTTGGCCTTTTCACTGAGATCAAGTGTAAAAAGTCTACCTTTCTGCTGTCGACTTGCTCTTCACTTTTGTCAAAATAAGTTGAACATCTTTGCTTTATTTCTTAGTTCCCTATTCTCTTCTCATCGTCTATCCACGTACCCATCTACATACACCACACAGTTTTCTTACTTTAGCTGTTTCTTGAAACCAGATTTATTTATTTTTTGTTGTTTGTTTGTTTGTTTGTTTTGAAAGATTTATTTGAGAGGCAGAGTTTCAGACAGAGAGGTCCTCCATCTGCTGGTTCACTCCCCAAATGGCCTCAACGGGTGGAGCTGGGCTGATCAGAAGGCAGAAGCCAGGAGCTTCCTCTGGGTCTCCCATGTGGGTGTAGGGACCCAAACACCTGGGATATCTTCTACTGCTTTCCTAGGTCATCAGCAGGGAGCTGGGTCAGAAGTGGAGCAGCTGAGACTCGAACTGGTGCCCATACGGGATGTGGGCACTGCATCCTGAACCAGGCTGCATTAGGAAGCTGGACTGGAGGTGCAGGTGGCAGAACGCAAGCCTGCCCTCTTATATGGGGTGGCTGTGTCCCTAGTGTGCCTTAACCCACTGTGCGATAAACGTGCCCTGGATTATGAAATCCTCTGTGTGGTTGACCTCTCTGCTCTGGTCGGAAAAGGTGTAGATGCTGCCTGGTTACTGCTACATAAGGGGTAGAGGTCCATTCCCTGCTCAGCCTCCATTGAGATCCAAAATTGGTGAATTCTTTGTTACTTGTGCTTGGACATGGAAGTTCCAGCTCCTCCCTGGGTCCTAACGGACACCACGATGTGGGGCAGGGGGAGGGGGTTGCTCATTACCCCTGATGGGTAGTCATAAAAGTCTGGTTTCCCACCACGATGCCTCTGACGCTGCCCTGGCAGTTATGGATGGAGAGGGCTGATTTTCATCCTTCCCTTCTCTGTGAGCGCCCTAGTTGGAGACAAGCCTCACTTGAGTGCCACAAAGGTGGACGTCTAAGCTTGCCTCTTGGTTTTTGTTGGTGCAGGTGAGGGTGGGCCATGGTCCTTTCTCTGTAATTTTTGCCGTAGTGAAACAGTTATTATTACCCAGTTTTCTGTCTTGCAAGACTGCATGTTTC